GTTCTCTTTCTAGATTCTCTTTTAACGACTACCACAGGCGCAGTGACGGTGTTTTCTGAACTGTCATTGCCTGTATTGTGATATATAGAAGATAATATTTGGTAATCGTAGTCCTAAATAACTATTAAAAATAGCTAGACGTTTCGAGCAATGGCTCGAAACGTCTAGCTATTGCCTGTACTGTGTTCATTCCGTAGGTCCGCGTCGTCTATGAATTCCAAGACATCACTCACAGCAGTTTCCGTTTCGCCGTTCTGCCATTTAACAAAATGTGTATTTGTTGTGTACATTTGCCTGTTGTCGCGATGAGCAAACATTAAGCAGTCACGCCAACGCAAAAACCTGTCACTAGAAGTTGATTTTAATGTCACGATGTGTTTCTGTGGTAAACGTTAGAACACATACATACAGTACGCAATGAAGCACCCACCACATGGACCCCTACAACATAATACCACGCTAATCTACAAAACTGTTTCTTACAAATATGCAGTTGTATTTTCAGCAGCCATGTTTTACAGGCCCTCTACCACCTGTTTAGAGCCGCCCATTGTTTGATTAACTACTACTAATAAAGTAAAGTTTCGTCCAAGTACCGTATTGGACAGAGCTCCGATAAAATCCTATGCCTACAACATAACCTATACTAGTGGTTAGATAATTGATCAGGGTTAACTAAAGCGACAGCTCATGAAGAACAGACTGGTCGCATGGTCACAATAAATAATAAGACTAACGAATACTTCTGGAAATACTAACGCCCAGGGTTTGTTATTAACAAACCGTTACTTGTGGGCTGTTTAACATGACACAGTTTAAAGGGGCACCTTCCAGTTAAGCCTAATCTCACACAAATTTACTTTCTGGATTAAAATACAATGAATAACAAAGATAGATTATCATTGTAAACAACATAACAATAGTGTCCCATGATTCTTTGGTGCAATCCATGGGATGAGCGGTTCCCCTTTAAGGGCTGTTTGACGTGGCGTTACCTAGAGTTGATTAA